AATATTTACTCAATCTGACCAAATATTATAATTATAGCTTCCTCTTCTCCTCGCACCATCCCGTCGCGGCTATAACCTCCCCTTGCCAAATGTGTGGATGGAGAGAAAGTACTTCCTGTGAGGGAGAGAGAGTGGGGGGAGAGATAGGGGTCCCGGGACCGCTGCCAGGGAGACTGATCCTCCAATCTGACACGTTAATGAGATCCTGGCCCGTAGTCGCACGGTGTCAGGCCCAGGCGCATCCGAGGCTGCAGCCCGACCTCCAGCGCGCTCCTCGAGCCCACACAGTGATGGAGAGGTGCTGCCGATGGAGGGGAGAGGGGGAGAGGGTTCAGCTCCTTAAATCTGTCTAATTAAAACACCAAATCCCCCACGCACGCACGCATACGCACACACACGTACCCACACACGTGCACCCCGCGCGCCCCGTCCCGCTGCCACCCCCGATCCGCCGGAGAAATGATTATTAGGAATTTAATGGGGGACCGTTTCCCATCCCACACCATCTGGGGCTTGGGAATGGCACGGAATTTGAGGATGCTTGCCGGCGCGGTGGCATTAATCTAGCATTTTCTTGACTGCTCTCATTCAAAATAAGTTAAGTTTTCTTCTTCTTCTTTTTCTCTCTTTTCAACTTTGGGTGTGAGTTAGTAAAATGATCAAAAAGGACTCCCGTTTCAAAACTGTGTTCTAAAGCGCAGGATTTTTGCTCAACTTTTGGAAATGGAAACTTCAATATTGGGATCCATGTGATATCTCAATGATTGAAGAAAAACTACTGTCTGTTGTCAATTAACCAAGTAACTGGGAATCACAAAACAATGTTCAACAGACAATCTCACATCTCATTATGAACACAATTTAATATTTGGAAAACAAAGGCTTCGTTTGGGTGCAGTTGACACTAACCAATAAAAGCAGGGCTTAATGAACCAACCCCATCATTAAGAGAAAATCAGAATCTTTAGTTAATGTTGAAGTCTTGACCAGATTGAAATAGGCCTACCACAGAGGTGAAGAATATTTACAGTGGATTGTGTTACTAAGTGTCTGCGTTAATGTCATAAACAGTTACAAAGTTGAGTAATCCGAATTCTTTCAGATTATTCTCACATTTGCTTTCCTGAGATCCAGAATACGCTGTTGTTTTTAGAGTATTGGATCAAAAATACAGAGAGATATCCCTCTAGCAGCATTTTAGATTTGCCAGGCAACAGCTCTGCAGATGTTGACAAGGAAAATGAGGCAAACTAATGTGACCAAGACAAAAATGAAAGAGAAAATGCTAAAGATTGAAAGAGTTATTGCAAATGTCCTTGTACTCTGTCTTCCAAATACAACAGCTACTCTAAAAATGCATGAAATTGTCACAGTTGATGCTCAGATTTCTTTTGGGCATGGGAACACACAGTCAGTTATTGGAGTTATATGATTTTGCTGCAATGTAAATGAGTTATGACTCCGCCGCGTCCTCAGACTTTGATCAAATCCTGACAAAGAAGTATTGAGTCATTTGTTCTTCAGAGTTCCGATCCAGGCCATTTTCTTCTGTTCCTGTGCTTTTTTTCCAGTTCTATTCAAGTCAAGACTGAGCTCATAAGAACCCAACACTTCCAAACAAGACTCAAGTGACTCAAAGTAGCGCTGTCAGAGTCACAAGTGTGTCTAAAAGTCACCTGAATGGACAGTGCTCAGTGTCAGTGCAAGTGAATTCTCTAGATTATTATTTAATGGTCGTGTCTTGTTAGTGTTTTCCCCCTCAGAAAATAAATAATTCGGTCCACCTGTAAAAGCTACAGGATGTGCTTTATGCAAATGAGCCCACCTGTCATGATGCGCTCTGGATGAGGGTCCCTTGGTATTTGGAGACTGCCAGTTACCTGTTCTGTACTTTATTTTATTATATATTTGTGCTGTATATAAGATGTAATGGTTGGATAAGTTCAGCATTTTCTTAGACATTATTCCCACCCAGAGTTAATACGCGTAAAGGAGTAAACTTTCCCTAAACTTCCCATATGTTCATTGTTAAAGGGCCCTATAGGAGCGCGCTGTTTGTTGTGAACTAATTACGATTGCATCTCTCTATACATAGACATGTACGCTATCTCACCTCCCACACAAACCCGGCCATATGCTCCTTCTCGATCTCTCTCCCTCCGCTTCCCGCACCCCGCCTAATGAGCGACGTGAACGTGCGCTCGGCGTGTACACGTTTGACCCCGTGCTAAACTGCCGCGCGCAGCCCTAAACCCCGTGGGCGTGATAAAACACACCGCTCACTCCTCGGAAAAGGTCTCCAGAGGGATTTGAACCTTCAGTCACAAGCGCGTACCCGAGGGAGCGCGCACTGGGGAGCGGAGTGGGGATGAGTGGAGCGAGAATGGGACAAGGGCCAACAGTGCGAGTTCAAAGGCCCGACGGGACTAACACTAGAGTCCACACGTTTTACGCACCGGGGGGAAAAGCGCTTCTCACTTTTGGGTTGCACCAAATCGAGCAAGAATCGTTATCACACTCGAGATCTTGTGACTGATGTCAGATGAGTGATGTATTCCAATTGGTTGGTTCAAATATCAGATTAATTTATAAATATCCAAAATTTCTGAAATAAGATTAGTGTCATGGATCAAATAATATTGAAAAAATAAATAAATAAAAAATGTCCGGTCAAAAAAACATAGGCCTAGTTGTAAAAGTTTGCAGCTCCACGTGCTAGAGCGCACATTTAACTTCAAATACTTCAAAATAGTATGTATATTATATTATATATTTTTAAACAACCATTAAAATAATATTTTTTTAATACTCATGACACAGGTTGCCGTGTATCAAAATAACTTCAGTCAAATAAATATTTTACCCATGATTGCTTTTTATCATTCTCGTGTGGGACCATTTTTATTTGATTAACAATTTTATTGGGTTAAAATGTAGAAGCAGCCAATGAAAATGAATGAGCCAAGATATAGTCAAATTTAGTAACACGTAACAATTAGGAAAACTCATCCACTCGTTTAATAGACTAAAGGCAAAAGTTCAAGAAGATAGATTGTAAATTTGCGATCATTCTTTTTGCGCAACTCATTCTCTAATGTCAATTTTCAAAACCTTTTAGTCTAATTTATCGCAATAAAATCCACCCAGCTCCCTAATATAACAGCTTAAACACAACTAGACTATTTAATAAATTTGTCTTTATAATTTCAAATAAGTCGAGTTGGTGTCATTTATTTTTAAAACATAATTTTATAACGTTTTTTTTAATTGTGAGTGGAGACGTGCTTGGAGCGCATTTCCTTGGAAACAAACCATCTCTAGAGATTTGGGTTCCTCTGGCTGAGGACTGGGATCAACTGTCTGCGCTCTCTGGCTCCGGTCCAACAGCTCGTGGGCATTTGTGTCACAAATCAAGCATCTGATCAAGTCCCAAAGACGAGACACGTTTGGGACGCGTGCGTAAAAGCCATCCAAATCCACTCGTCTGGTGCCAATAATTTTAAACGCTCAGATATTTACGAATTTAATGTCATAACTGATTGACTTTGTCCCGTTAAAAAACCTGAAAATATGAAACATATTTGCGTTTGTATAATTTAGACTTAATATAAACAAATGTTTTCATACGGAGATTTATTTTTCAGTTAAATGTCCATCTGGTGTCTATCACTTGTCATAAAAACCTGTGGAGATAGTGTCGGTGCGCCTCACAGCCTCGTTTTATTGCGACAAACACATCACAAAACATGAAAACATTACTTCACGAAGAGCTCGATCCATAACGAGTTTTCTTTTGTGTAAAGTGTATTCCACTGACCAAAGTCTGGACCAAAAGTCTGAAAATACACGAAGTGCGTCTGAGCAGAAAAGATAAATCCAAATTTTCAGGTCGTTGCATATAATAACTTTCCTCGTCTCGTTTTAAGGCATGTTCTGATTTTCCACTGTGGCATTTTATCAACAAATGCATGAATTTCACAGAAAACGTAATTTTACAATACAGTTTTATAATACTTTATGCACATTCAAGTCCATATAACGACATAGGCCTAAATAATAAATAACAACATGAAATAAATACAATCATGATTTACATTCACCTCGTGAACACACTATTTACTCACTTTTTACAGATGACTTCAGGCCACCTTTAATCATTTGTTGATTACTGTTTTTCAAAAAGATTTTCAAGAGGATTGCATTAGCTTTGCATAGCTCAGTGTTGTCATGTTATTGCTAACTCCAATCATGTCTCAGAAACTCCCTGAACACACTCAGACAAAAGTTGGCGTCAATTTGAAAATCTAAAATGATAGTCTCCACAGTGACCAGTGTGTCATCCAACTACTGTACAAATGTACTTCAATTTCAACTGCTTTGCGGTTAGGCAATAAAGTGAATAAATTCAACAAATAAATAATTACCTGAACAAATAAAATACATTGGCAAAAAAAGTAAATATTATCTTTTTTGGTCATAAACATGCCACATTCAGTTCATACAAAAACTGACTGTGGATAAATTATATGTATAATATAACCTATTATTTTGACTTGAAGAGAGCCCATCTTTACAGCCTAAATATAAGACACAAAATGTATGTTTGAAACTGAATATAAAGTAGCCTACCACGTGACACATAGACGGTTGTCATGTTGCATTAAGTCCTCTACACTCAATCACAGGCATAACCTTGCCCTGCAATCATTTGTCTCACCATTATAACTGCATCCTGTGAAACACACATGCACTGTTTGCACTGCAAAATGATTAAATGATAATTTTACATTTCCTGAATGATTAAGGACACAGAAGCATGATTTAAATGAAGTATATGTCGCAAAAGCACAGTTTTTGAACCTTTTGAAGCACATTAAAATATCGTTTTTTTCTTGTAAAATTTAAGGACAGGCGTTTTGAGTTGAAGGTCAAACATCACATGACACAAAAACTCCTGCTGTGCGTCAGTTGGTTACGTCCTCTCTAATTTGATTGAAGAGTTAATTGTGATATGACCCGTTGACCTCCCCCTGCGACTGGAAAGACTGGCTGCGCATGTGGAGGTCGTAGGGAAAGCGTGCCTCCGGTGAGACTCTGTACATGGAGTTGTGCGTCAAAGTCGTGCGTCCTGGCGCACCGCAGTAACGCATAGCCCCATAGTGGGAAGCGGCAGAAGCGTGGCTCTTGCCGTAATCCGGCGGCTCGTCGTGTTTGAGAGAGAAAATCCCGTTGAAGTTTAAGGGAGGACTGAGCTGCGGGTCAAAATGAGGACTGCCACCGCTTTCCGAGGACGCGTTGTCGTAGTAGGGCTCGTACGTGCTGCTGTAGCCATAGTGACGGAATGCTTTGCCGCTGTCCACACCACTTCCGCTGGGGGTGTCCGTGCTGGGGTATGAGTACATGGTGTCATACGGAGACCGCCCGCTGAACATCACCTCGCCGTTGTGGTCAGTGAGGAAGTTCCGGGCGTTCAGTTGCAAACAGCCAGCCACGAGGTTGGTGGTGGGCTGGGACAGTCCTTTACACAGAGTCTGAACGAAGGCGAGCAGGTCCGGCCTCTTCCCCGCACTCAGCGTCTCGGACAGGGCCCAGATGTAGTTCTTGGCCAGTCTCAGAGTCTCAATCTTGGACAGTTTCTGAGTTTTGGAGTAGCATGGCACTACTTTACGCAGGCTCTCGAGCGCAGCATTGAGGCCATGCATCCTGGAGCGCTCCCGGGCGTTGGCTTCTTGTCTCCGCATCTTGGCCCGGTCCATCTGTTCCTTCCCCTTTTTCTTCCGTGGACCCCTCTTTTTGGGCAGACCGTCCTCGTCCTGATCGAACTCGCGCTCGTCCTCATCGCGGTCTGAAGACGCGTCACAGTCCACGTCCCTCATGTCTCTCATGTCCCTCATGTCCACCTTGTCCCGGTCCCGGTCCCGGGGTCCTCACGCGGGAAGTTGGCGCCGAAGCGGGGTTCACACATCATATGCGCTTCCTCGAATGGCAGTGTCAACATATTTCCTGCAACACAACACAAGCGGGGGATGAGTGAAGCGCGCAGCCGCTCACGGGAAGGTTGTTTCTTAATTACCTCGTGCACGCGCTCCCAGGAGGAAGACCAATGTCACAGCTACTTCATTGTCTCATGTCTTTAATTTAAGGTGTGAATAACAGTGTGGACAATGGGAAATGTCCATGTCTCAATTACTAAATAGGTTTATTGGTTTTATCAATCTAAATCTCTTTTGAGGAGAGACACTTCGTGTATCCTGCATAGTTGAAATCTTTCTTTTAGGGTCCAATAAGCAACTAAGAAACTACTGTTTATTCCACGGTCACCTTCTGTTGTAGTAATTAGAAAATGCACAATATTATAGATTATATTCCGATAAATGACTAAACATAAAAAAGAACTAAACATAAGAGATGGATACATCAAGACTAAGGGTTATTCCACTATAGAAAAATAGAAATATTAAGCTCTAAAGGCATTCAGTCTAACCAACATAATAAAACATATGCCACTCATATATATCTAAATAAGCATAAATATAAACTGAAAATTAAAAAAAATTCAGTCAGTGGATAAAGTTTGACAGTATGGCCAAGAAACCAAGCTGCTGTCATAATATTAATGCGGCTCAATAGCGTTACAAACCAATAAATAAATAAATAAATAAATAAATAATTAGGCTACTTCTATAAACACAATAAAGAACAGAGAACTTAATTAAAGTTTGCCAAAGTGCTCTTACCTGTGGTCAGCGTGCACCTCGCATGTCTCCACTTCCCCAGAGCGCGCGGTGCTGTGTTTCTCGTCTCAGTTTAAAATCACGAGATAAAGCCCGGTCTCGCGCTCCTTTTCTCCTCCTCTCTCAACTACTCCACCCCCATCTCTCTCTCTCTCTCTCTCTCTCTCTCTCTCTCTCTCTCTCTCTCTCTCTCTCTCTCTCTCTCTCTCTCTCTCTCTCTCTCTCTCTCTCTCTCTTTGAGGAATGACACTCATGCCAACCGCGGGTACCGTGCCATCTGCCGCTGACGTCTCGTGGCAGCCTCAGACCACGTGTTCTGCGTCCCACGGGAGCTCCACGGCGCCGTACACCCGTCATCTGGCAGCTCCGGTAATGGGCACCGCGAGGCCCGGCGTTTACAGTCAAAAACACGAAGAGGAGAGGGATAACAACTCGTATCCGCAGCCTCCAAGCCATGTTACAACGTCTGTGCGTGCGTCTGTCCGCGCGGGAAGATGGATGCGCACCGGAAGAGACTCTCAACAGGTGAGAGGGGCACGAGCCTGAGCTGTCAGCAGGAGGCCACTGGCTCCAGCACGGGACAAGTAACTTTTAATTCAGCTGACACGGTTTTACGGTGACAAGAACGTGAAATAAAGTAAGCTTACATGGAAAACGTCTAAAGTTTTACAAAACTTAGTGACTGACGGCATTTTGCAAATAAGTAAAAACACCTTGATTAAAAGCACTCCTAGATGCCATGAAACACACACAAATCTTTTTTAGTTGAGGCTAATTAGCACTTTTGAGAACTATACCACAGCAAATAAAAATAATTTCTTAGTGTAGTCCAATTTCGCCATATGTGTCAAATTTTGTTTAGGTTATTTCTTTAAAGGACTCTGCAACTTTTCTGATGAAGGGTCCAGTTGTTTCACTACCTGCTTGTTTCCATGGAGATGTTAATTGCTGGCCTAGAATGTTTCAGGAAAAGTACAAGGTGTAAACACACTGGATTGTGGACTAATTTCAGTCAATTTTTTGGAGTAGGCCTACTACACCATCATACACCGGTAGACACTAAAATGTGGGTGAATTGTCTTGCCCAAAATCACAACACACTGAACACTGCTGCCCCTTTAGTGCCCCCTAGTATTTTTAGTGGTCACCCATCCAGTAATAAGACCCAGACATATAGCTTTAGACATCAGGCATTCTCAATGTGGTGTGGTATCATATAAGGGGCTACACAGTGCACATTAAGGACCAGGATCTGGTTTTGCATCTTTTTGGTCTTGGTGGGTCTCATTTGTCCTGAGATTTGAGACCAAGGAATGTTCAAGGAAAAGTATGCCCAGTATTCAAACACTCATAGGTATTTTCCACAACTGTTGAACTTGTATTAGTTGAATGCATTAGTGCTTTTTGACATGCAGAGATTGTGCAAAATTGTCCTTTTGGTGTTTCTCAGTGTGGGGACCAAATACAAAATTGAAAAAAATGAGGCATTAAATGTTTCATCTGATCAGCTTGATGAAAACTGTTGGTGTAATTTTAACTTAATCTTAAGACTTTTAATAATTTTTGAGTTTTTTTTTTTTTCCACCTTTGTATTAGCTGAAGTTCAACTCCAAACCACCAGTCACTATAGCATTAGATTGTACATTGTGCTTTAATTCATAACTCATTAGTAGAAGTGTAATGATATCCAAGTCTCACAGTGCGATATCGCCATGGTATGAACCACACGGTACGATATTTATTGCGATATCATGGGAAAGCTCACGATATGGTGGAGGCTCACGATTAGGGATGTAACAATATCCAAATCTCTCTGTATGATATTTTCACGATACACATCTCACTGTACGATATTTATTGTGATATTTTGTGGAGGCTTACAAAACTGTTAATATTTTTCCTTTTAAAATGCCTTGACAAGATTTAATCCAAAGAACTAAGATTTAAAAGTGCTTAGAACTGTTATTTCTTCTTATAGTCTGCACTGAAATGGAGCAAAGGATCATGGTCTATGTAGTTCCGTCTGTCTTTTGTCTATTGCTGCACCATAACTCTTAATTTAAGCAAAGAGACTTGTAATTCGATATATTTTGATGGTCCACGATATTATTGTGAGAACTTTGACAATACGATATCACGATATTTTGGTTATTGTTACACCCCTGCTCATTAGTAAACAATAATGTAGGCTGGTGTCCTCTTTGGCTCATGTAACAAACTTGTGTAGTCACTGTTTCACATCAGCTCTGTGACATGCTCCATGATTGTCTCACCTCCTCATGTATGACGCATGAATACAGTGGAACAAATAAAGAAATACACTCTGTCGTTCTAACGTATTGACGAGTGAGCTGTCAATCAAAGCTAGCAGTTAGCCACCTATGACGACTGCAGCTGCCTGATCTGTCACTCTGAGGCCACGCCCAATGAGCTGAGCAAACACACTTTTTAATCCCCCTCTTGGGTTTTGACTTAGATTTGGAGGCAGCCTCTAGTGGTCATCTGTTGAACTACAGACGCAGTAATAAGTTTGTCTTCACTGATTAATAATGTAGCTAACTAAGGTTTAAACAGATCATGTTGTATTACATGTTTTGTGTCTTTTCAGGAGTTAGAGCATTTGTCCACCAACTGAATGTCCATGGAACAATTTTGACTGGGGCCGTTGTGTAAGACTCTTCACACACTTTGCTTGTAAATGTGAGTGACTGGTGGTGGTTGGAGGGGCCAGTGGCACAGGTTGGCGTCCTCTGAGGTTTTAAAAAGCAAAAGTAAAAACAAAAAACATAAAGGAAAGAAAGAATAGAAAATGATGTAAAGAAAGTAGCATGCACCAAAGTCACCAAATCTCATATTCTACTGACTCTAGATACTATTTACAATTATGATACCATTTATAGTAGGTCTGTGCATTGCCTTGAGTCTGACGATACAATACATATCATGATATGCACGTTGCGATTCGATATATCCCGATACTAAAACAATGGATGACATATTGCGATTTATCAATAATTACTTCTAATAATACAGTCACCTAAAACTTTAAGAGAACACAGATGCATGAAATATAATTTATTCAGTGTTTTAAATTATTAGAACAGTGAATGCAACTAATGATTTTTTGTGAAAATTATTATTTATAAAATCTATTTGGATCCATTTTGAAACAATTCAAGAATTGTGCAATCACTCCTAATTTCCTAGGTCCCATATTGCGCAATTTTTTTTCTTTTAGGTGTCAGTAAGTAAATCCGTAATCCTTTATTATTAACCAGTTTGAAGCTCCAAAGCTCAAAATGCTCTGTTCCACCTTGATATCATGAAGCAGTAGCTTTTAATTTAACAGCTATGTTTTGCCTTTTGTTCAATAGAGACTGAAAATTCTGAAATTATCTAAATTATTCTAGTGAAGGTGTATGGAGTGTAAAACACAGTGGAGCTCTTTCTGTATCACAACATGACATCACAAGGTGGCACCAAGTGTTTTCCCTTTGAGAGATGAACACAGCCTAAATATGCATAGTTTGTGTGTATGAATGAAGCAAAAGTATTTGACAACAACAACAACATTATAACAGATCAGAAAATAGCATAATATGGGCCCTTTAAAATATATTTTATTAAACTCACCATCGGGTTTATGTCAGATACTTTTAAAATATTTGTGAGTACTGCATTACTACTAACTATCTTGCAACCAGTACCCAAACCATTCACATTTACCCTAACGAAAGCATTAGTTTGCGTGTGCATTTGCTCACACACACAGCGTCTTTACCGTGTCTGCGTCCCCTTTAACTGCTATACCTTATTATACGCGTTAAAATGGGTGAATACATTCCTGCACACGTCTGGGATGCACAGGATGTTGTGAGTGCACCAGAGGGGCCAGCGTAGTGCAGGTACCTCAGGACTATACACATTAAGTACACCCAGCGGATAGGCCTGGTGGCGCGTTGCCAGATCTGCGCCGGGCCACAGCTGGCTCTTGATACGGCTATATGCTCTCCTCACTTAGGTGGAACGCACACACAATCGCTCCAATAAGCCTATGCAGCCAATGACCTTGTTGGAAGGATAATCAATTAAAGCAACTTATCAATCTGAGTATTGGACATTACAAGACATCGATCAGCACTATGGCCTCGTGGTACATAGGGACAAGCTTTGATTACAGACCAGAGTGGACTGTTACCATACAAAACAGTGAGGCATTGTTATAGGCAGCAAGGTAGTCACAATAAATACACTATCCACTTAG